ATGGAATTAGAAGTTCCAAAAATGCATCAGTGTACTTTTGCATAAACAATACAAACATCTGTACTTTCATAGATTTTGGAGTAGAAGCCATAGATTTGAAAGTTATCGACATGAACTATTATATTTGAAGCACGTCGTATAAGATAACATAGCACAATTATACTAACCGCTTTTGGCGCCAAGTAAAAATCAATGAAGATCAAAAAGCTGCTGAATACCAGCCATCTACTGATGAGTGATATTATTTATATGATTTCATAGTAGCATGAACTAGCTTTACTCCAAACTAACATAGACACAACGCTAATCTTCCAAATCATCTCTCTTCCAAGGCTTACCCAAGATAGAGCAATGTCATGGCACAATGATGTCCGTTGTTTGGCCTACGAATAATGGAGTTTCACAAATGCAGACAAGCGCTGCGCAATAATAGTCCACTGGATCGATGGTTTTAATTTCAGCTAGAAAGGGCATTCTTGAAAAGGTTCAAGGTAGAAGAAATGCGTTCATCTTGCTACCTATCAAAAATCAGAGCATTTAATGATTTTTGATGGGTGATTTGAGGAAAATTGATCTTGCCTGGTACTGATAAGACTTGAGAAAGCTCTTCTTCTCATTTGCTCATAATGTGAACTGGATCATAACATACCGCTACTGAGTAGCTTTTTTGGGAAAAGAAGAATCGAGCAGTAGTAGTATAAGAACGCTCGGAAATTGTGAGTAACCTTGAAAATGACTTATCCTACTACATAAAGCGTATATAACAATAGCATTTACCTAAAAAACTTGTTTCAAAAATAATGTGCATGAAGTAGATAACATGTTCTATCATTTTTACTGCAACACTTTGCGTTCTTTTTCAAAATTTCGAAAGCATGAAAGGTATTCACAACCGCATGTATAGAGAGAATTAGAGAATGAGAAGGAAACCGCAGGCACGCAACCGAAGCCAGTTCCTATTAGACAAATGTGCCAAACTGACTTCATATAATCACGTGCGAGAATTGACGTTGGCCTAAATATTCGTCATTCGGAAAGATCAATACAATTAAATTCTATTTGGAGATCTGAAGAGCATCGCTCGTTGGAGCAGTTTAATTGGCACGATATCAGCTATTAGAGCGGCGACCGGCAGCCGTCTCAGATTTCCGCTAATCTCGCCGCAGATCTCACCGCCACTGTAGAGTCCCGGGCAGTAGGGCTCAGTACATCATTACATGATAGTCACGATGGATGAAAGAGAAACTGAATTTTTCTTTAAGCGGAAGAAATCCGTTTAATGTTTGAACAATAGTGGCATTCTAAATTTCTAAAAAAGAAACTATTTCTGCAAGGTGAATGATAAGTTAGAGATGAATTGAGTACTTATTGGATTACAGTCAAACCGATCTCTCAAGGCTAAAAAAAGGA